GCTTTGGGTAGCAGCCCAACAAATAGAAGCCCCGTGCCCAGAAAGAGAAGGGCGAAAGTCACCCTGTGCTGAGGCAGAGGCCGAACAAGCACCAGCACAAGGCACCTGTTTGCCTGCTTGCTGATCTCATCCGGCACACGCACACACACACACACACACACACACACACACACACAGACACACACACACGTCCTAGCAAATAAAAGCAGAAGCAGGCAGGTGCCATGCGGGGCTTCTCCAATGGCCTTCACAGCCCTGATGCTGCTCAGGGGTGGCTTCGCAGGGGTAGCTTCACAGGGGTCACACAGTGGCCATCCGCAAGCGAAGGTCTCAGGGTCTGCTCATCTAGCATGGTTGAAATCTGAAATCTGACTACCATTTCAATCAGCCATTCCTTTGTTATTACTTTTACACACCACACACACACACAAAATCAAACAAACACAAACACTAACCTGCTTTCTGGCTCCATTCTCCGCTGTGTATGCAGGGCAAGAAAAGTCCTGGGGACTAGCATAGTCCGTGGAACTATGATAAAAAAACATTCAGACCTTCCAACTTCTCATGAAAAAAAGAGATCTTGTGAAGTTGGAAGGACTGAACAATTTTTTTTACCATAGTCCCACAGACTACTTTTCTTGCCCTGCACACGCAGTGGAGAACGGAGCTGGAAAACAGGTTAGTGAAGGGATGTGGCTGCCTTGGAGGGGTGTCGGGGGTGAGGGACCTCTGTTTGTATTTGTGTGTGTGCAGTGGTGAAATGTAAAATTTGTTACTACTGGTTCTGTGGGCGTGGCTTGGTGGGGGGAATGTGACTGGGTGGGTGTGGCCAACCTTTTTTCTTTTTTTTTTACTTTTAAAACCATTTTTTCTACAACCTCTTTGGCCGAAGAGGATGTAAAAAATGCTTTTAAAAGCCTCTGATGATCCTAGCTGAGTTGCGTGATCGGCAGAGGCTTTTTTTTCTTTTAAAAGCCTCTGACAATCCCAGCTGAGTTGCTTGATCGGCAGAGGCTTTTTTTCTTTTAAAAACATTTTTTCTACAACCTCTTCAGCCAAAGAGCCGCAAGATCATCAGAGCCTTTTTTTTAACCTTTAAAACCTTTTTTTCAACCGAAGAGGTTGTAGAAAAAATGCTTTTAAAAATAAAAAAAAAGCCTCTGATGATTGTGCGGCATAGGTGGGCATGGGGGGGGGCAGGGATTTTTGCTTCCAGTTCTCGGAACCACCCGCCTCCATTGCTACCGGATCAGGCAATCTGGTCCGAACTGGGAGCATTTCACCCGTGTGTGTGTGTGTGTGTGTGTGTGTGTGTGTGTGTGCGCGCGCATGTGAGTGAGTGAGTGAGTGAGTGTGAGTGAGAGAGGGAGAGGGAGAGGGAGAGGGAGAGGGAGAGGGAGAGAGAAAGAGAGAGAACATAGCCACCAGCCCTGGATAGCTTTCCGAGGTTGGATCAGATCTCTTTCTCTCTTCCCCTCTCTCTCCCTCCCTCCCTCTCCCTCCCTCCCTCTCTCTTTCACACACACACACACACACAGGTTGGAGCTTTCTTTCTTCCCTCCCACCCACCTCCTGCCCTGAGACTCCTGGATTCCCTCCCCAACCCTGCTTGGCCCATACAGGCTTATTTTCCACTTAGGTCTTATTTTGGGGAAAATACAGTATTAAACGCTTCAGTCTGCTGACGATCTTAACTGGGGCTTATTTTGGGGGTAGGGCTTATATTACGAGCATTCTGAAAAATAATGCTAGGGCTTATTTTCCAGTTGGTCATATTTTCATGGAAACAGGATAGATAGATGATGGATGGATGGATGGATGGATGGATGGATGGATGGATGGATGGATATTTTTGCAGTTTTTGGACCCCAAACAGAAAAATAAACGTTTAATTCCAAATGAAATAAATAACATTTTATTTCAACTGGATTATTTCCTTAACCCCGTCCATATAATTTGATTCAGAAGAATTCTTTAATTGATGAATATGAATATAATGAGAACAATTAAGCCTTACTGAATTTGTTGAAAATGGAACATTCAATGTATTTAGTTAAGAATGCAACTAAACAATGTAACTAAAAGGAAACAAAGATATATTGGCAGCAAATCAAATTCATCAAAAACTTCACAAATCAGGGTTTTTTCCCCGTCTCCCCACCCCTGCTCTTATGCTTTCTGTCTGTCTGTCTGTCTGTCTGTCTGTCTGTCTGTCTGTCTGTCTCTCTCTCTCTCTCTCTCTCTCTCTCTCTCTCACACACACACACACACACACACACACACACACACACACTCACACACACAAACATAAACATACAGCAAAATCCAAGAGAGTAGTAGGTAATCTGCAGGTAATCTTCAATTTACAACAGTTTGTTTAGTGACTATTTTTCACACTTCTGACTGTTGTAATATCTCCAAGGTCACATCATCAAAATTCAGATGCTTGGCAACTGACTCATATTTATGACTGTTGCAATGTCTTGTGATCATGTGATCACCTTTTGTGACCTGACAAACAAAGTCAATGGAGAAACCAGATTCAGTTAACAACCGTGTTACAAACTTAACAACTGCAGTGATTCACTTAACAACTATGGCATGAAAGATCATACAATGGGGCAAAACTCATTTAACAACTATCTCACTTAGCAACAGAACTTTTGGGCTCTGTTGTGGTTATAAGTTGAGGACTACCTGTATTTTCTTTAAGCAATAAGTTCCAGAAAGGAGAGAAGGATGTCCATGATTATTTCAATTATGTCTTCTGCATCTTTTGTGTATTAGAGTGGTGCTCTTGAATTCAGCACTGGTTGGACTTGGTAGAATTACAAGATCTGTTTGCAAATTACCGTACTTTTCGGAGTATAAGACACACTTCCCCCCCCCCTAAAAGTGAGTGAAAATTGCAGTGAGTCTTATACACCAAATGTTACCAAAGCCCCGGCCACCTGCCGGCCCCTACCCTTCAGCTGATTTCAGCCTCCATGCGTCACATTTTTGGCCTCCACATACTCCATTTTAGACCCATTCCAGGCTGCAGGATCGCCACAGCACATCACCACTGATCGCAGCCTTTGTGCATCCGTTTTCAGCCTCCACACATCACGTTTTTCGGCTCCGTCCACATTGGCAGCAGCGGTGGTAATGATTGCCTCTGCCTGGAACCAGCCAAAAATGCGATGTGCGGAGGCCAAAAACGGGGCTTGCGGAGGCCGAAAACACAATGCGCAGAGGCCAAAAATGTGATGCGCAGGGGCAGCAATTGCTGGCAATGTGCTGTGGCAATCCCCGCATCCTGGAACGGGTCTAAAACGGAGCATGCAGAGGCCGAAAACGCAATACATGGAGGCCAAAAATGTGACACACAGAGGCTAAAAATGCAATGCGCGGAGCTGGTGATGGGCTGTGGCGATCCCCGCAGTTTGGAACAGCTTATTGGTGGTATTCCAGGAGGCCGATCCAACCGCCAATTAGCTGCTCATGCTGAATCAGGCTGCGATAATGTGCTGAAGCTGACCAGGCTATTTGGTGTTTGCTGCGAGGATGCTAGCCAGATGAATACCAATGGATGCTGGGAGGCAGAGGCAGATTTTATTTTCTTGTTTTCCTCCCCAAAAACTAATGTGCGTTATATACTCCGAAGCGTCTTGTACTCCAAAAAATACGGTATTTCTCCTATCATATTTTTGTTCGTTTTTTCCTGCATTTTGTTGTTTTTTGAGTCTTGAATCCAGAAACCTAGACCACAATTCTGTAACTCAGGCCTGCAAATCATAGGAGCATTCACTGAATCTTTGTCAGAGTTTTATTCTCCATCTATACAAAATAACTTTTTTCACATTCTTATACTCTCCAAAGGTCTAGAATAAGTGATCAAGATTTTTTCACTGAGATCAGGTGCCAGACTGACCACCCAAATCTCTTTTTTGCCACTTATATATCTCTCTCTCCCTCCCTCCCTCCCTCCCTCCTTCTATCTATCTATCTATCTATCTATCTATCTATCTATCTATCTCAAAATACCATTGAAACATAAAGTGGGATTGGGTTTGGCTCATGTTTGATAGTACTTTTATGTTTCTTAGACTTTAATTTTTAATAAAGTAGCCAAACTGGGGGGAGAGACTAAAAGAAAGAAAGAAAGAAAGAAAGAAAGAAAGAAAGAAAGAAAGAAAGAAAGAAAGAAAGAAAGAAAGAAGGGAGGGAGGGAGGGAGGGAGGGAGGGAGGGAGGGAGGGAGAGAGAGGAAAGGAAAGGAAAGAAAGAGAGAGAGAGAGAAAGAGAGAGAAAGAAAGAAAGAAAGAAAGAAAGAAAGAAAGAAAGAAAGAAAGAAAGAAAGAAAATTTCTTGAATAGTTTAAATAAATTTTATTGTTTCTGCTGTAGAAAGATAGCTATAAATTCACCCATAGAGAGCTCTGGTTGTTTTATCAGACCTCATCAGAGATACTCTAATGCAGTTTTTTCCCTGAAATAGGATAATGGCAAAGCATAAAACATACTAGAATTCTGAAGAAGTGTCCTTAAAATGTGTATACTGCTCATTTTACATTATCTTTACTTAGCATTTACCTTCATATTTTTACTCTTTTCAATCTTTCTGAAACATAGCAAATGAAGACTAGAAGCCACAGCTAACTTTATATATTTGCATTATGCATCTATTGTAGATAAATTTAAAAACATACAAATTGAAAGCCATTCAGGAAGTGTAATCATTATAACCCCAGCCTCATAAAATGTGGAGATGCTAATTTATTTTAACAAAATGGGGATTTTTTAAAATGTCTGTTTACTCACCAAGATATTACACCAGGATGTAATTTGCAAGTAAAATGGTTTATGATGAGAGGAAAGAAAAGAGAAATATACCAATATATTGCAATATAATGTATGAAGCTGTGAATCACATTTGCCCATGTTTTTAAAAGCAGCACCTGTCATATGCTTATCAGAATATGTCATTTTACTTAATATTGTGTGTTTCTTCTTCTGCCAGATGTTGGAGCCTTTTTTGAAGAAGGAATGTGGCTCCGGTATAATTTTTCATCTGTAGGAAATAATGTGAAGGATTCAGGAAGCAGAACTCTCTTGAGCTCCAAAGAATCAGAGAACTTTGTATCAGACCTCAATCTCAATAAAGAAGAAATCAGTTTTAGCTTCAGCACTAGCAAAGCTCCTTGTATCCTCCTGTACATCAGTTCTTATTCTCAAGACTACATGGCAGTGTTAGTGAATCCGGCTGGTAAGTAATTTGTCCTTTTTTTCTGCATATTTTACCTTTCCAGCATACTACAAAAAATTGATGGTACTTAAAACTGATATTTGAGAACATGTTTTATATATAAGACACAAGCACTCAGGAGAGACCCATAGTTACCAGGGGTGGGCTTCAAAAATCTCAGCAACGGGTTCACTGCCCCATTGCTGGGTGGGCGTGGCCATGGTGGGCATGGCCTAGTCGGCTTCCTGCACCATGGCGGGGAGGAGTTTTTCGCCCTCCCCAGGCTCTGGAGGCTTATCTGGAGCCTCTGGGAGGGCAAAAATGGCCACCCCCAGCCCTCCGGAGGCCAGAAACGGCACATTTCCAGCCTTCTGGAACTTCCAGGAGGCCTGTTTTTTGCCCTTCCAGAGCCTCCGTGCGAGCCCTGGCATCCAAAATGGGCTACATGGAGACTCCTGGGAGGGGCAGGGAGGGGTTGGAGGAACCAGTCAGGCAGGGGATTTGGGGGTTTGCCAAACTGGGAAGAATCCTAGCTAGAGGATTGCCCGAACCCATGCGAACCCCCAGCAGCCCACCCCTGATAGTTACTCTTTGTTTACTGCTGAATGACATAGTTGTCTCTGTGGAATGTAAAATATCTCTTGGATTTCAACTCATTATAATAATCAGCAAGTGACAGTACAATGCCAATCTTGCTTGATTTCAGAAGCTAAGTAGGATTGGGCCTGATAATCAGAGGCAAGACAACCTTCTAGAAATTTTAGACCATACAAGTGGCATGTGGGATTACCACTTCTATAAAGCAGCCAAAAAAAACCCTGCATGGATTCAATCACCAAGAGTTCGTCATGCTTTAGGTTAACTTTACATAATATTCTATAATGATGAAGGGTATAAAAACTTAAAAGTAGGATTTTTAATGGACTAATCTAAGAACGAAATAAAAATTACTCAATTATTTATTACTTCGTTCTGTAGGAAACTTACAGATTCGATACAAACTTGGAGGTGCTAAAGAACCATACAACATCAATGTAGATCACAGGAATGTGTCAAATGGACAGCCACACAGTGTGAATATCACACGGGTAGGAAAAGACATAGTTCTCCAGGTAAATACATAGCAATGACTTTATAAGGAATTAAGCTGAATAATAATATCACTGCTAAATTTTAAATATCCTAGGAAAATTTAACTTGCAAATTTACAAGCTAAATGGAGACAAAATGTGGATAAACCTCAAGCAATCTATGAATCAATTATATATGAAACATTTATTCCATCTTTAAAATAGAGGATAAAGAATATTGATAATGGATTATTATTACTAATTTCCTATCATTTTTTTCATGCAAGAAAGAATTTGTCTTATGTTTATAATTGCATCATAGTACAATTGAATATCAAAGAAGGAAGATAAAAGATGTGGTTTATTTATTCTACAGGCCTTGCAGAAGTCTGTTTAAAATTTTGATTTTTATCATTATGTACCATTATTTTTTAAAAAGCCTTAATATTTGACAATGAAATTTATGTAGAACTTCAGAGCAATTGTTTCATTTTGCTTTATTTTATGACTAGCCCCTTTCCTTCCTAGCCTGTTTCATGTTTTCTGAAAGCTAAATGTCATTATTCTAATTGTGCCCCTTGTCAAATTTTATTTAAAAAAAATATTACATTTACTACACAATTATTCATTAGATTTAAATCTCACCTTTCCTACAATCATATGACTGTGATACAGAATCATAATGTGCATGGCACTACCATAGTACTGAATTTCAAGTGGTACGAAATTTATTACTTTTTATAGTAATAGCATATATTTAGACATTTTTGCCAAAAGAATTTCTAAATATATATTCATTATGTCCATAAATATTTTTCTTAGATCATGTTTCTCTTTTTAAAACAGTCATTAAATGCAACACCTTTTAAAATCTCAAACTATAATTACATTTATTTGTTTATTAATCATTTTATATCACTCAAAAGATTCTGAATGGTGTACAATAAAATTATTAATGATGAATTTTAAATTACATGTCTCTGCAAGTAACACATCCATATAGTATTTTTTAATTGTTAGTTCTGCCCTTAAGGTTTATTAGAAAAACTATACCAAGAATGAAAGCTGTGCAAATCTTTCCCTTCCATTGATTTACTCCTTGAGAGCCACAAGATGGCACCATATCATAGCTTCTAAAAAGATTCCTGCCAGCAAAACAATAACTTCTATATTTCCAGGCCAATCAATCACTTTCCGAATGCATTTTCCCAGAAATGCTGAGTCTGACAGCCATTTCATACGGAGACAGATTTTTTTTTTTTTTGAACTGTTGAGCTTGTGAGATCTATGATATGCATATTAATTGTCTGTATACACATTAGTACTGGCTGTGTTTCATGGAAATTACCCACATTCCTGAAATAGTGGCAAATAATAAAATTCACAGTGATATTCCTGTAAACCCAATGGACAAATTTGCTTGCAGTACCACTCCAGTACACTATAATAAACCAACTCTAATAGTCTGTATAAAAATGTTATTTTATTATCTTGACCATTTCTTTAAAAAACAGATTGCGTTATTAAACTGTTAATAGTATATCTCTGTCAAAGGATAAGAACACAGTTCCCAAATGCACTGAATTTTTAACATTGTATTTTAAAATTTTCTAGCCAAGGTAATAATTTGTATCCAATTTTCTTCTTTGTTTGAGCTGTTAGTCAATTTCATCACTTGGCCAGGAATATCTGAATACTTTTATATAGAACATATAAGCAAACTAAAGGGCAGTTTAAACATCGGAAGACTGCATTTATAATAGTATACCAAAATTTATTGGGCTGTGAAATTTATATTCTTTTCTCTACATCCCTGTTTCTAGCTCCTCTTACTCCCTAATTTCAAGTTATGTTAAAGTCAAAAATATTTAAACAACTTTTAAATCTGAATTCAATGGAGTTTATGTATTTCTATGTCTCAAATAATAGAAATGTCAAATTATCCCAAAATGGGGTATTTTTTATTTTGTAATAAAGAAATCCAAATTCAACAAATCAAATTTGTTGAAAACAAAAAACTGAAACTGAATTTTAAACTTAGACTGCTCTCTCTTTTTCTCTTATTCTCATTTCAATCTTATCAAAATTTGGTATTAAATTTGCTCTTTGGATCTGTGTCAAATCTGAATAAATTTCTTTTGAAATCTACCAGGAATGAGAGATTAAATAAATGACTCTCATTTCAGTTTCTCACTTAATGGATAATATAAACTATTGTGCATCTTATAGCAGGACAGCTGTGTTAGTATGTGGGGACAGCTTATGAAAGCCTTTTAATAAAATGTATTAGGCAGAAAAGGTGCCACTAGCCTCCTGATTTTTGTGATTTTATATGACCAAGTGAATTTGAGGTGGAGTGGGATTGAATGAGTACCATATTTAGGAATGACCTTTTCAAAGGAAAGATGATCTGATCTTGATTCCCTAAGTATGCCAACTGTGGTAAAATCAGGGATAAAACAAGAACATCTGAAAGCAGAGCAGTGCGTATCATCAAGGAAAATCTACTTCAGTGACTTTATTAGCCTGCAATCTTCAAAGTTTGACATCTTTGTTTTCATGTTTCTCTAGCTGGACCTTTATCCCCCAGTAAGCTACACTATACCAGGATCATCAAGCCTTCAGTTCAGCTCACTGAAGTCACTCTTTCTAGGAAAAGTAATAGGTAAAAATCTATTTCAGAAATTGTTTATGTTTATATGGATTTTAGCTTTAATTAGTACATTATTCAACTCTTTTTAATTGTAAATTACTCAGAGTTCAGAGTTAAACTCCAAATTGCAAAATAAATAAAACAAATACATACAATGCCAATTGCTTCTCTGATATACAGTAAGTCCCATATATGATCAGATTTCAAAAAAAATGAGTTCAGTTTTTATTATTTGTCTTCATCTTTCATATCTTAGAAAGGCCTTCCCTATTAAAGTAATTGTGATATAAAAATGGAAGTTGGACTTAATTTTTTTAGCAAATCTGAAAGAGATGGATGATTAAAAGATAAATATAAATAAATTATGAAATCAGGTCCTATCACTGAACCACAGAGGCTGACAATGAATCACTTCAGTATTCTCTGAACCCTGCTGCAAGGTAGGAGGGAAAAAAATTGGCAGGAGAAAAAAAAATTGTCACCATTACTTTTTCTCCATCCTTTAATGGACAGATAAGGACATGTATTTTTTTTCCACTAGAAATCTATTGAAGCAGAGGCTGGAAGGCAAATTCCAACAATGTCTAGAGATATGAAGGAAGAGGAGGAGGCAGTTTTTCAGGGTTTCTTGTATTCAACATTATTTTTTAGCAAATTGAAATTTATCTTAAAGTTCTGAATGATTTCTGGTATACTCCAATTCTCTACTTCCAAATTCTACCTCCCTCCAAAGAATTCTTATGTCTTACTTGTCAAGCACTTACAAAGCTCCTTTTTTGATAACACTAAAGCAAGTGACCCATGTACAGATAGTCCTCGACTTGCAACACTTCGTTTAGTGACTGTTCAATGTTACAACAGCACTGAAAAAAGTGACTTATGACCATTCTCCACACTTATGAATGTTGCAGCATTCCCATGGTCACATTATTTACATTTGGATGCTTGATAATTGACTCACATTTATGACAGTTGCAGTGTCTCAGAGTCATGTGATCCCCTTTTGTGACTTTCTGACAAGCAAAGTCAATGAGGAAACATTCACGTAACAACCGTATTACTAATTTAATAACTGCAGTGATTCACGAATGGGGCAAGAAAAGTCATAAAATGGGGCAAAACTCACTTAAATTTCTCATAGCAACATAAATTTTGGGCTCAGTTGTGGTCATAAGTTGAGGACTACCCATAGTCTATAAGAATTAGGTTTGATCAGGAGATGTTTGGAGCAATGGGAGTAGCATCAGATACTAAAGCACAACGCTTTCTGTACTTCCTGGTCCTCCTGCCCTATGTTTAGAAGTAAAATCAAACTGCAGTGTGGTGGCTTCTATATATGGAGATGGAGTTTACCTTTCTATCTTACTCTTTGCATTAAGAAGCAAAGTATATTAAACTGGTCCTTTAGGAAACATTGACTGACTTGAAAGACTCATCTGTTTTCAAAAGACAGTTGCCACAGACCATTGCTTAGCTATGAAAACTAGCGAGGTGACTTTCAGCCAGTCATCTCTTTCAGCCCAATTCACCTCCCACGTTTGTTATTGTGGGAAAAATAGGAGGAAGAAGGTGTGTTGAAGTTGAGTTATGTGTAAAAACAATAGAGTTGGGGGAAAATAAAAATAATAAAATAATTTCATGAACTAATAAAAGGCCTGGATGCTCTGCTTTTTGAAGGTTCCTGAGACAATTAAAATTATTTTTGTAAAGATAACTAGCCTTTTCGTTTTTGCAATTTCCTTACTTCCTTTTCTCATCTATTACTTAGTTAATGAACATTTGAATTAGAATTATAAATGTGATTAGATGTTTTTCCTAATTTAGAAAGCCATTCCCAATTTATGGAATATTTGCCCCTTCTGGGCCAAAGCATAGCTGAGGAAACGAGAGAAAGAAAGAGAAAGAGATGTATTCACTGAAACTCTAAGCATCAGCAAGAACCAGCAGGCTCTTCCTGGAAAGAACAGCTTGTCATAATTTATGCATCCCTTTTCCATTCTGAGGTTGAAGCACAAAACTGGGTGCTCATCAATTTCAGTGTTCATGCCCGTATGACTTTAGGAGAAATTTCATGAAACTATAAAGCTGGCAAGAGCATTACCTCCACTTTTTTCCATCAACTGTTTCCATTTCCCTCCTCTCCAAAATGTATAGAAGTCTGGCTTGAAATTGTAAATTTTTGGTGGTGATAGTGGTAGTGGTGGCGTTAATGGTAGTGCCAATGATGCTAATACCAACCTTAGGAAAATTTGATTTTGTGTAAGTTTGTACAAAATAAAAATCAAAAATTATTTGAAATCTATATATATAAATGTGAAAACCACTCACGCTGTAATCACAAAATCTCCAGAACCGTAAAGCCTACAAACTTGAAATTTGCCACGTATGTTCCTCTTGGCTTCTAGGTGCTCACTAAGAAAGGATTTTTCAAAATGACCATCAGAGCATTAGTATTTCCTATATTATGATTAACAAGTTCTGATGCTAATGAGTTCTACTCTCCCTCCCCACCTGAAAAGCAGTCTGTTCCAAATGCAAAACACAAGCAGAAGAGAAGAGTTTCACTTTCAGTTTTACTTTCATAGCAGGAAGCATCTTTAATACAGAACTCTTGAGCTAAGCCATGGCCAGGCTCCTTCCTCTTTCCTTCTTGCTCACACAGCAAATACTGTTTCACTTCCCAAACAGCCCTCTGATGCTAATGAGTTCTACTCCCCCTCCCCACCTGAAATCTGTTCCAAATGCAAAACAGAAGCAGAGGACAGGAGTTTCACTTTCAGTTTTACTTTCACAGTAGCAACCAGGGGATAGGATAGGGGAGCCTTCTGTGGGCAAGCCTAAGGGAGAGGAGAGGAGAGGAGAGAAGAGAAGAGGCTTCTATGGGGCAAGGCTGAGGGAGAGAAGGGGATAGGATAGGAGAGGCTTCTGTGGGGCAAGGCTGAGGGAGAGAAGGGGATAGGATAGGGGAGGCTTCTGTGGGGCAAGGCTGAGAGAGGGAAGGGGATAGGATAGGGGAACCTTCTGTGAGGCAAGCCTGAGGGAGAGAAGGGGCATAGGATAGGATAGGGCTCTGTGGGGCAAGGCTGAGGGAGAGAAGGGAAGAGGAGAGGAAAGGCCGATCATAACTACTCATTAGTTTTCAAGCTTTGTCGATTTATCAAGCCCGATCACATAGTTTTGTAGCGAAGCACAGTTATCCAGCTAGTATAGTTCATAAATGTACTTCATAATTATTGTTCTTCATAAAATTATGTAGAAGTAGAGGTCTGAATTATCTCTACAACCGTTTTGAAATATGATTGGTTAAAGCACTCTCACCTGCTTAAGAAAATTATGAGTCAAATAATAAAAATAGATATATGTACGCATAATATTTATCACAATCATAATATCAGTGATGATAAGTACAGTAAATGATAGCTTGAGAAACCTGTGCTCAGGTTTTCTGATTCTTTAATTTTTGTTAAAGTGCAGCTATGAAAGTTCCTGGATTGTTATCTAATTCTGGATCTGAGGTGAAAGTTGAAAGGCATGTGGACAATCCATCTCAGTTGGAATGAGGAAAAGGTGATCTTCCTAGAAAAGCTCATGACCATTAGGAAAGCAAATGCTCATGATAAAAATGAAGCTAAGATGATAGCTGCAAAACAAAAACAGTGCCACAAAAACAGAAAGTAAAAGAGGTTGGATATACCAACACTAATTCCTGAAAAGGAGGTCTTAGATGCTAGATGAGTAAGCAGTTGTCAGACTAGAATGTCAGAAAATTGTATAGCCCTTTGGTATTATCAGTTAAGGTGTGGCAGAATATTTGCACTAGGAGAAGGAAAGAATGTCTGATGTCATTGCTTAGGGCTTCCAGGGTCCAAGGCACATTCGGCTGCACTCAATAGAGATTAAATCCTGACACATCATTATATCAATCTGAGTACACTGGCTTCCAGCTGCAAATAACATATGCATGCATACTATAGAAAACAAATCTGTACTACAATTAAGATCAAAGAGGTTGCTATCAAACTCAACCAATGATAACTGAATTGCTTTTTTCCTAGCTTCTGAAGGGCTGCTATTGAAGCTATTCTTACCTATCCTAGTCATTATACATCTAATAACAATACAGATTTGTTTCACATCTACAGTGTAGATGTAGTATAGTTTCTAATCTAAATCTCCAACTGGAAACTAGTGAACATCACTCAGATTGATACAAGTTGTAACAACAACAACAACAACAACAACAACAACAACAACAACAACAATGTAGAGTCGAAACATCCAGGCTGATTGCCTTATAGCCAAATTTCACATGGAAAATCCAAACAAGCTGGGTGGGGGGGGTCGCATCCCTCTACATCTGTACTCAAATTGTTTTGCTTTGCGCAGATCGCCCTCAGGAAGTGAGGGGAGCCAAATGTCAACTTGCAAAGCTTTCAAGTTACCATGAGCAGGAGGGAGGGAGAACTGATGGAGCAGATTGATTTCCCTAACTGAAACTACATTCCACAGATACTTTTTTACCACAATCAGTAGGAGAGTTTTGGGTTTCACAGCCAGCCAAAGTGGTTAATTGGAGAATGTGATTTATGACGTGGCCAGGGAAGAGGGGAGAGACAGGGTCATAGGAGAATGTAAATCTATGTGGGATTAGTTCTAACTGCATTCAAATATTGCAGAAATGGTGCTCCTAATAAATGACTGTATTTCTTTTGAAGTTTGGCTCGTGGCTCATGAATTAATTAGGGCATCTTTTGGAAACTTCACAGTAGTTTAATATCCTTATTAATTAAAATACCCTTGTTCATTAAAAATAGTATTCTATCCAGTGATCCCTTTATCTCTGATAAGTTATTGGCAAATGGAAATGCTCCATTTTACATAAATTGAATCGTGGTGGCTACTCTCTGGAAGCCATGGTAGTCTTAAATTATGATCAAGCCAAAGTTAAAATAAGGCAAAAAATAATTGATATAGAAAGTCAAGAAACTAATTTGTATGTGACAATCAAGGCC